CCTGTAGCTGCTGGCACTGGAGGCTGGCCTCAGGTTGCATGGCTGAGGCAGCGGCGCCTCAGGACCGGCCCTAGGCTGCATGATTGCAGCAGTGGTGCCTCAGGGCTGGCCCCAGACTGCGTGGCTATGGCAGTGGTGTCTCTGGCCTCCAGGACCGCGTGGCCACAGCAGAAGAGCCTCCCCCTGGGACAGTGTGGCTGCAGCTGTTGCTGCAAGGGGGCACAAAATCAGATAAGGTTCTCCCCCACGCCCAGACCCCCTCACCCTAATCCTGTCACTTCCCTTCCCCCCCCCCCCCCCGAGACCCAGCTCCCCTCCTCACTTACTCTTGTACCCTCTCTCCTGGCCACACACTGCACCCTCCCTTGTTCCTTCTCCCTCTACTTGGCCAGACACCCTACTCCCAGCCTGCTTCTGCACCCCATCCCTATCCTACTTGCTGGCAGCCCTGTCTTGTGCACTGTACCCCTGGTTTTTGTCCCTGCCACAAAGCTTAAGGAGGTCCATAAAATCCACTAACTCCAGAACCCCAGAAAAGTAAATCTGGTTTATGGGAAGCCCTGATCCTCATTTTCCCCCTTCCCTTCACCTCACCCTGTGAGGCTGGGGCACCAAAGGAGTGAGGTGTCTCAGTTGGGGCCACATCAGTGAGCATTGAGGGGTTTTGGAGGCGTTTTTTGCTTCTGTTATGTGGTCCCCAGCTGACTTTTTTGTGGGTCAGTAACTCCAGATCCAAAAAGGGTTCCTCACCCCTTCCATAAATAGAGAAAACGCCTATTGTGTTGAACATAATATTTTACTTTATTTAAATGAAGTTTGATAAGCTAACATGAGAGTTAAAATGCTTACTCTGTTTCATAATTCAAATTAAACTGTTCTTATTAGCTGCAACTGGTTCAGAAAATAAGGTCACCGCACCCAGCAGGGCAGTTCTCAACCCTGCCCCTTCCGCCTGCCCCTGCCCGCCACTTCCACCTGAGGCCCCTTCCGGGTTAGACCATGGCCACTTCCGAAATTTGTAAAATGGCCCCCCCTTCCAAAATTATTTCCCACCCCTGCTATGCACTCTTCTGCATCCTTTCCCCAGGCCAGAATCCTCTCCTGCACCCATACTGACACCTTGTATCCAATCCTCTGCCCCAGGTCACAACCGCTTCCCAAACTCCCCCTCAGACCTTACAGCATCTCCTGCACCCCAGCCCCTTACCTCCTGTGCCCTTCTTCCCCCATCTTCCAGCCTAGACCCTGCATCTCCTCCACAGAAAAGCGCAGCCTTTGACCACTTTCCAAAATCTTGGAGTAGCCCCCTCATCAAAAAAATTATTGCCCACCCCAATCTACTCTGATAAATCTAAGTGTCAGAAATTTTAAAGCTTCTCTATATGCTAGAATACAGATTTTTTTTTTCTCTCAAGAAGCACTGTGCTTACAAATCCTATTGAAATGGAGCGATAGCTGTAATGCTTTCTCTCTCTCTCTCTGTTTCTCATCTTCCCACTCTCCTGTCTGTAGCAGTGGAGTGGGGATTGCTGTTGCATTGTCCTTAATTGCTGCTTTGGAATTGACCTCACTGTTCTATGATATTTTGTTGAGTCCTCCTCCTCCGTAAATGAAGTTTTTCCTGTTAGTAGAGTTCCCAAACAGCAACCAAATGAAACTGCTGAGTCCAAATTCTTGTCTGTGTTGGAAATTTGCTTCAGTAGCTGTTGGCCAGCCTCCTGCATAGCATACCTGTTGCAAGTGTAGGCAAGATAAGCTCTTCACACCAGTCGATCTCATTTTAGTTTCAGTAGAGGTAAAGCTCTACCGGTGGAATAGTGATTTTGCTTTCCTGCACTCTGGATTTGCTCTAGTGCGGGAATGCTGATTACTACCCAGTTATGATGGTAACCAGGTAAATCCCCATTGTGGACAAGTCCTTATTAATCTATCTACCTTTGCTCCTGATAATTTTGGAGCTACCAGGATGATGGCTCAGGAAGACACCAATGCATCATTAACAGCTCCTCCACTCAGTGCAGTATTTGTCTTTGCTCTTTGTTTGCTTTTTCAGCCAGTTTTCATGTAATTGATCATACTAATGCCAGTTTCAAACAAGCTTTGATATTTTTACAACATATATTAAGAAGTCTACATTAATGATAAATGCATAATTATGCAGTGTGTGCCTGGCTGATGCAATATAATGAAGGTTGGAGGTGCTTATTGAAACTTAGTTTTCTAATGCGATTATGACAGATGATTCAGTTGTAATTTAAATATTTAAAGTAAAAAATGTATGTTTCAGTATTTTAGAATTATTTTTAATCATTACCTTGTTAGAATTATAGCTTTCTTTGTCATTGTGGAATCTTATGCTAAGATTCTGATACAGCAAGCAAAACAGATTTGGACTGGATCAATAACAGAAAGTGTTTCTTAGTTGTCTGCCTTTCCAAAAAAAAAAAAAAGAAGAAGAGAGAGTGTTAGTGATCTGTGGGAGGTATCTTTCTACTTGGGACAGTACTGTCCCATTCTGTACTGTTGGAAAGGGCCAGAGCTCTGAACATTTGTGTCCATTAAGGATCTCTAAGCAACTTTCATGAGAGTTGATTGGTGGTTAAACCAAATACAGATTAAGGTACTTTTATTCTGCCTACCCATGTCTAAATTTTGATTATTATTCTATTATGTATAAAATATTTTTCACTTCATTTCCTAAAGTTAACTGCTTATATCACTTCTGTGAATTCTTAAACAATTGCTATGTTTTATGCCATTTCATTGAAGGACGAAATAATCTCTATATAAAGTTCAATGGTATTCTGGACCACAGCCTTCATCTTTAACTAAAGTACAAACACATTCTTGTATGGATCACTTGAGAAGTCAGATAGCTTCACATGTTCTTGTGTAACAGATTTCTCTGTACTGTGAGATTGTTTGCACTAGCAATTTTTCAGTAAAACTGTATTGATTCAGGGTGTGAAAAATACCCTCCCGACCAACAGTGTTATGTCACTGGGAGTCAATCTCCTACCATCATAGTTACCACTGCTCATTGGGGGTAGTTTAATTATGTCGACAGGAGCGCCTACATGGGAGATGTTACCTTGGGACATCTGCAGCAATTCAGATGTGTTGCTGTAAGGTCTCTAGTGTAGATGTAGCCTGAAGGACTAGAAGCCTTCTATTTCCATACTATAGGTTGGACCTCCCTGGTCCCCCCCCCCCCTCAGGATTTTACTGACCCCAAATGAAGGAATTTGCCAAACCATGGGAGGTTAATTCTTCTTCCTCTGCTGACAGACTCTGGGGCTCGCCTGCTCTGATGGAAGGGAGCAGACCTGGCCGGGCTCCCCTCCTGGCTCTGTGCCTCCACACAGCTTTGTTGCCAGTCTGGTTCCCATCCTGGCTGCTGGCCCAGTAGCCAAGCTCCCTGTCCCCAGGCTGCCAACCCTGGCGGAACTGCACTGTTGGTCTGGCCCCTGGCCAAGCTGCAATGCTAGCCCTGACCGCTGGAGTCCGTGCCTGAGGCTGTGCTGTACTGTGGAGTCTGACACTGGCTGCAGGGCTATGCTGCTGGCCCCAGCAGCCCGGCTCTCTGCCCCCAGAATGGCTGTGCTACCAGGTCAGCCACAGACTCAGCTACTGGCTCCAAACCTTGACTGGTCTGTGTTGCCAGCCACAGCCGCCAGTCTCCATGACCCTGAGCTGACTTTGCTACCAGTGCTGGCACTATGCCAGACCATGGATGTTGGCAGACCAGAGTGTCCCGGACGAGAGGGTCAACCTGTATTGCAGTTTAAGTCATGAATCAGTGGTATATAGATGAGATCACTGAAGCTAGTTTAGCAAACATAAGGGCTGTGTCTAGACTGGCAAGTTTTTCCGCAAAACTTTCCCATCTGTCTATACTGGCTGCTTGAATTTCCGCAAGAACACTGACGATCTCATGTAAGAAATCAGTGCTTCTTGCGGAAATACTATGCTGCTCCAGTTCGGGCAAAAGTCCTTTTGCGCAAAAGGGCCAGTGTAGACAGCTCAGATTTGTTTTGTGCAAAAAAGCCCCGATTGCGAAAATGGCGATCGGGGCTTTTTTGCACAAAAGCACGTCTAGATTAGCACGGACGCTTTTCCGCAAAAAGTGCTTTTGCGGAAAAGCGTCTGTGCCAGTCTTGACGCTCTTTTCCTCAAATGCTTTTAATGGAAAACTTTTCCGTTAAAAGCATTTGCGGAAAATCATGCCAGTCTAGACGTAGCCAAGATGTATCATTACAAAAAGATAAAATACCAAATTTCTGTATATTTCAAATCCAAAAGATTTTTCTTTCTTTAAAGATGAAATGTAAGGTTTTAAAAATGCTCCTGAGTAGTAGACAAAATATGTTGCGGAATTATTAATCTTTATTTATTTATACTATGTAGAGGGATAATGCAAGATTACCCATGGTGGATCACTCTTGAGTCGATGGAAGGCTCACTAATGGGAATGTGCTACTTCAGACTGTATTGGATTCTTTCCTGCAGTGAGGACACTGATCTTGAACTTTGCAAAATCACGTGACCAGTAATTGACCATAAAAGGTTTAACCTTATCTCGTAGTGTAGACATAACCAGGGTGTATCAGTGCAGTCTTATATTATTATGCAGCATTACAAGAGTTGTTTATTTGCCTTGGCGTGTCACGGGGTGGACTCATTGCCATGGTGCCTTCTGCTGGTAGCACTGGGAATTAACTCATCCGCAGGGCACCTCCCTCTGGCAGGTGTCTCCACGTGTCTTCACTCCATGCTTCAGTTCCAGACCCGCATCGCTCCCAGAGCACAACGCCCTCTGGCAGTGCCCACTCCAGTGTCTTTCAGCCCCCTTCCAGTTCTGGAAGTTCTGTATCTCTTCAGCCCCCTTCCAGTTCTGGAAGTTCTTTATCTCTGCTGCTGTATATCTGGTTGCTGACGGTAGTGTCCAAGTCTAGCTCCTCACTTCAGAGACCTGCCACAGTCCTTGTAGGCCACAAACGCTGGTGGCCAGCTGTTGTGCAAGGGGGAAGTGGGAACCTAGGCCTGCCCAATACTCTGGGTCCTAACTCAGGGCCCCGGTAGCAGCCATGTCCTGCCCTTCTCTGCTGCCCTTCACTTTG